CCGAACAGGTGAGTGAGATCAAACGCGTGTACATAGTGTGCATGTACTGTTCATTGATCAGTTGAATGTTCATTTTCTATATGTTGTATTATCGTTTGATAGGCAACAAATAAATGAATGATTGAATGTGCTATTGCTCAGAAAACTACGTTCTACAGCTCAGTTGGAATAGTTCGCAAGAGGAGAAATATTTGATTTGTCTTTCTATATTCAGATCATTCGAGTGCTTAGATCTAACTAATGGGAATATATGAGATACTGATTGTCAGTGGCCACAAATCGTCCGGAATTTTCAATTACAATGTCCAACCGGATCGTGTTTATCTGCGATAGCAAATCAGTATGTATAAAGGAGCCGATTGGGAAAAGCGTTCGTCTACTGCACACAGTGAAATAGTCAAATGTGAACTGTTTGTTGTTGCGCCAAACAGACGAATCTAATTGGGACGAGAACATAGCAGCATGATCCTTATTGTTCCACACTATCCGTCAAGTGAATCATGTGGACTAAAAATGAACAAGGCCAAACTGCAACAAGATCAATATTAAAGCTCACCGCCATCCATTTTCTCCTTCTCTACAATTAGGAAAGATGAGAAACGAACAATGTACACTGATCGAGTGATCCAATCAAATGAGAACAAGCATACAATAATAATATTCGTATTCGAGTGGAGAGGAATGCGAATATATAATAATAAAATCACAGCGAATCTTTTCTCCTTTGTCGACTGGCACAGTTGAATTTTGGAATAATGTGTGCACAAATGCGACCAGTTAGATAAATGGGACAATTGAGTTTGCTTCGTTATATTTTCTGTATCTGTTCCATTGCGAGATAGGTGTGACTTTTGTGCTTCATCATTCTGTGTGTTTCGTTTCGAAATGTGATCAAATGAAATGAGAACAAATTGGTCTAATGTGGATTGTTGTTAGCAATTAGCAGTCCATATTTGACCATTGTGAATTGGGAGTAGTAAATCACATGGATCATTATCACTTCTTATTCATTCATGTATCGTTCACGTGGAAGAAGCCGATCAAACTGACAGTCGTTCAATTCGTGTTAGGATGCCAGTTAGCAGTTGATCGATATGCACTTCTCGTTATTCCGAACAGGTGAGTGAGATCAAACGCGTGTACATAGTGTGCATGTACTGTTCATTGGTCAGTTGAATGTTCACTTTCTATATGTTATATTATCGTTTGATAGGCAACAAATAAATGAATGATTGAATGTGCTATTGCTCAGAAAACTCAGTTCTACAGCTCAGTTGGAATAGTTCGCAAGGGGAGAAATATTTGATTTGTCTTTCTATATTCAGATCATTCGAGTGCTTAGATCTAACTAATGGGAATATATGAGATACTGATTGTCAGTGGCCACAAATCGTCCGGAATTTTCAATTACAATGTCCAACCGGATCGTGTTTATCTGCGTTAGCAAATCAGTATGTATAAAGGAGCCGATTGGGAAAAGCGTTCGTCTACTGCACACAGTGAAATAGTCAAATGTGAACTGTTTGTTGTTGCGCCAAACAGACGAATCTAATTGGGACGAGAACATAGCAGCATGATCCTTATTGTTCCACACTATCCGTCAAGTGAATCATGTGGACTAAAAATGAACAAGGCCAAACTGCAACAAGATCAATATTAAAGCTCACCGCCATCCATTTTCTCCTTCTCTACAATTAGGAAAGATGAGAAACGAACAATGTACACTGATCGAGTGATCCAATCAAATGAGAACAAGCATACAATAATAATATTCGTATTCGAGTGGAGAGGAATGCGAATATATAATAATAAAATCACAGCGAATCTTTTCTCCTTTGTCGACTGGCACAGTTGAATTTTGGAATAATGTGTGCACAAATGCGACCAGTTAGATAAATGGGACAATTGAGTTTGCTTCGTTATATTTTCTGTATCTGTTCCATTGCGAGATAGGTGTGCCTTTTGTGCTTCATCATTCTGTGTGTTTCGTTTCGAAATGTGATCAAATGAAATGAGAACAAATTGGTCTAATGTGGATTGTTGTTAGCAATTAGCAGTCCATATTTGACCATTGTGAATTGGGAGTAGTAAATCACATGGATCATTATCACTTCTTATTCATTCATGTATCGTTCACGTGGAAGAGGCCGATCAAACTGACAGTCGTTCAATTCGTGTTAGGATGCCAGTTAGCAGTTGATCGATATGCACTTCTCGTTATTCCGAACAGGTGAGTGAGATCAAACGCGTGTACATAGTGTGCATGTACTGTTCATTGGTCAGTTGAATGTTCACTTTCTATATGTTGTATTATCGTTTGATAGGCAACAAATAAATGAATGATTGAATGTGCTATTGCTCAGAAAACTCAGTTCTACAGCTCAGTTGGAATAGTTCGCAAGAGGAGAAATATTTGATTTGTCTTTCTATATTCAGATCATTCGAGTGCTTAGATCTGACTTATGGGAATATATGAGATACTGATTGTCAGTGGCCACAACTCGTCCGAAATTTTCAATTAGAATGTCCAACCGGATCGTGTTTATCTGCGTTAGCAAATCAGTATGTATAAAGGAGCCGATTGGGAAAAGCGTTCGTCTACTGCACACAGTGAAATAGTCAAATGTGAACTGTTTGTTGTTGCGCCAAACAGACGAATCTAATTGGGACGAGAACATAGCAGCATGATCCTTATTGTTCCACACTATCCGTCAAGTGAATCATGTGGACTAAAAATGAACAAGGCCAAACTGCAACAAGATCAATATTAAAGCTCACCGCCATCCATTTTCTCCTTCTCTACAATTAGGAAAGATGAGAAACGAACAATGTACACTGATCGAGTGATCCAATCAAATGAGAACAAGCATACAATAATAATATTCGTATTCGAGTGGAGAGGAATGCGAATATATAATAATAAAATCACAGCGAATCTTTTCTCCTTTGTCGACTGGCACAGTTGAATTTTGGAATAATGTGTGCACAAATGCGACCAGTTAGATAAATGGGACAATTGAGTTTGCTTCGTTATATTTTCTGTATCTGTTCCATTGCGAGATAGGTGTGACTTTTGTGCTTCATCATTCTGTGTGTTTCGTTTCGAAATGTGATCAAATGAAATGAGAACAAATTGGTCTAATGTGGATTGTTGTTAGCAATTAGCAGTCCATATTTGACCATTGTGAATTGGGAGTAGTAAATCACATGGATCATTATCACTTCTTATTCATTCATGTATCGTTCACGTGGAAGAGGCCGATCAAACTGACAGTCGTTCAATTCGTGTTAGGATGCCAGTTAGCAGTTGATCGATATGCACTTCTCGTTATTCCGAACAGGTGAGTGAGATCAAACGCGTGTACATAGTGTGCATGTACTGTTCATTGGTCAGTTGAATGTTCACTTTCTATATGTTGTATTATCGTTTGATAGGCAACAAATAAATGAATGATTGAATGTGCTATTGCTCAGAAAACTCAGTTCTACAGCTCAGTTGGAATAGTTCGCAAGAGGAGAAATATTTGATTTGTCTTTCTATATTCAGATCATTCGAGTGCTTAGATCTAACTTATGGGAATATATGAGATACTGATTGTCAGTGGCCACAACTCGTCCGAAATTTTCAATTAGAATGTCCAACCGGATCGTGTTTATCTGCGTTAGCAAATCAGTATGTATAAAGGAGCCGATTGGGAAAAGCGTTCGTCTACTGCACACAGTGAAATAGTCAAATGTGAACTGTTTGTTGTTGCGCCAAACAGACGAATCTAATTGGGACGAGAACATAGCAGCATGATCCTTATTGTTCCACACTATCCGTCAAGTGAATCATGTGGACTAAAAATGAACAAGGCCAAACTGCAACAAGATCAATATTAAAGCTCACCGCCATCCATTTTCTCCTTCTCTACAATTAGGAAAGATGAGAAACGAACAATGTACACTGATCGAGTGATCCAATCAAATGAGAACAAGCATACAATAATAATATTCGTATTCGAGTGGAGAGGAATGCGAATATTTAATAATAAAATCACAGCGAATCTTTTCTCCCTTGTCGACTGGCACAGTTGAATTTTGGAATAATGTGTGCACAAATGCGACCAGTTAGATAAATGGGACAATTGAGTTTGCTTCGTTATATTTTCTGTATCTGTTCCATTGCGAGATAGGTGTGACTTTTGTGCTTCATCATTCTGTGTGTTTCGTTTCGAAATGTGATCAAATGAAATGAGAACAAATTGGTCTAATGTGGATTGTTGTTAGCAATTAGCAGTCCATATTTGACCATTGTGAATTGGGAGTAGTAAATCACATGGATCATTATCACTTCTTATTCATTCATGTATCGTTCACGTGGAAGAAGCCGATCAAACTGACAGTCGTTCAATTCGTGTTAGGATGCCAGTTAGCAGTTGATCGATATGCACTTCTCGTTATTCCGAACAGGTGAGTGAGATCAAACGCGTGTACATAGTGTGCATGTACTGTTCATTGATCAGTTGAATGTTCACTTTCTATATGTTGTATTATCGTTTGATAGGCAACAAATAAATGAATGATTGAATGTGCTATTGCTCAGAAAACTCAGTTCTACAGCTCAGTTGGAATAGTTCGCAAGAGGAGAAATATTTGATTTGTCTTTCTATATTCAGATCATTCGAGTGCTTAGATCTAACTAATGGGAATATATGAGATACTGATTGTCAGTGGCCACAAATCGTCCGGAATTTTCAATTAGAATGTCCAACCGGATCGTGTTTATCTGCGTTAGCAAATCAGTATGTATAAAGGAGCCGATTGGGAAAAGCGTTCGTCTACTGCACACAGTGAAATAGTCAAATGTGAACTGTTTGTTGTTGCGCCAAACAGACGAATCTAATTGGGACGAGAACATAGCAGCATGATCCTTATTGTTCCACACTATCCGTCAAGTGAATCATGTGGACTAAAAATGAACAAGGCCAAACTGCAACAAGATCACTATTAAAGCTCACCGCCATCCATTTTCTCCTTCTCTACAATTAGGAAAGATGAGAAACGAACAATGTACACTGATCGAGTGATCCAATCAAATGAGAACAAGCATACAATAATAATATTCGTATTCGAGTGGAGAGGAATGCGAATATTTAATAATAAAATCACAGCGAATCTTTTCTCCCTTGTCGACTGGCACAGTTGAATTTTGGAATAATGTGTGCACAAATGCGGCCAGTTAGATAAATGGGACAATTGAGTTTGCTTCGTTATATTTTCTGTATCTGTTCCATTGCGAGATAGGTGTGACTTTTGTGCTTCATCATTCTGTGTGTTTCGTTTCGAAATGTGATCAAATGAAATGAGAACAAATTGGTCTAATGTGGATTGTTGTTAGCAATTAGCAGTCCATATTTGACCATTGTGAATTGGGAGTAGTAAATCACATGGATCATTATCACTTCTTATTCATTCATGTATCGTTCACGTGGAAGAGGCCGATCAAACTGACAGTCGTTCAATTCGTGTTAGGATGCCAGTTAGCAGTTGATCGATATGCACTTCTCGTTATTCCGAACAGGTGAGTGAGATCAAACGCGTGTACATAGTGTGCATGTACTGTTCATTGGTCAGTTGAATGTTCACTTTCTATATGTTGTATTATCGTTTGATGGGCAACAAATAAATGAATGATTGAATGTGCTATTGCTCAGAAATCTCAGTTCTACAGCTCAGTTGGAATAGTTCGCAAGAGGAGAAATATTTGATTTGTCTTTCTATATTCAGATCATTCGAGTGCTTAGATCTAACTAATGGGAATATATGAGATACTGATTGTCAGTGGCCACAAATCGTCCGGAATTTTCAATTAGAATGTCCAACCGGATCGTGTTTATCTGCGTTAGCAAATCAGTATGTATAAAGGAGCCGATTGGGAAAAGCGTTCGTCTACTGCACACAGTGAAATAGTCAAATGTGAACTGTTTGTTGTTGCGCCAAACAGACGAATCTAATTGGGACGAGAACATAGCAGCATGATCCTTATTGTTCCACACTATCCGTCAAGTGAATCATGTGGACTAAAAATGAACAAGGCCAAACTGCAACAAGATCAATATTAAAGCTCACCGCCATCCATTTTCTCCTTCTCTACAATTAGGAAAGATGAGAAACGAACAATGTACACTGATCGAGTGATCCAATCAAATGAGAACAAGCATACAATAATAATATTCGTATTCGAGTGGAGAGGAATGCGAATATTTAATAATAAAATCACAGCGAATCTTTTCTCCCTTGTCGACTGGCACAGTTGAATTTTGGAATAATGTGTGCACAAATGCGACCAGTTAGATAAATGGGACAATTGAGTTTGCTTCGTTATATTTTCTGTATCTGTTCCATTGCGAGATAGGTGTGACTTTTGTGCTTCATCATTCTGTGTGTTTCGTTTCGAAATGTGATCAAATGAAATGAGAACAAATTGGTCTAATGTGGATTGTTGTTAGCAATTAGCAGTCCATATTTGACCATTGTGAATTGGGAGTAGTAAATCACATGGATCATTATCACTTCTTATTCATTCATGTATCGTTCACGTGGAAGAGGCCGATCAAACTGACAGTCGTTCAATTCGTGTTAGGATGCCCGTTAGCAGTTGATCGATATGCACTTCTCGTTATTCCGAACAGGTGAGTGAGATCAAACGCGTGTACATAGTGTGCATGTACTGTTCATTGATCAGTTGAATGTTCACTTTCTATATGTTATATTATCGTTTGATGGGCAACAAATAAATGAATGATTGAATGTGCTATTGCTCAGAAAACTAAGTTCTACAGCTCAGTTGGAATAGTTCGCAAGAGGAGAAATATTTGATTTGTCTTTCTATATTCAGATCATTCGAGTGCTTAGATCTAACTAATGGGAATATATGAGATACTGATTGTCAGTGGCCACAAATCGTCCGGAATTTTCAATTAGAATGTCCAACCGGATCGTGTTTATCTGCGTTAGCAAATCAGTATGTATAAAGGAGCCGATTGGGAAAAGCGTTCGTCTACTGCACACAGTGAAATAGTCAAATGTGAACTGTTTGTTGTTGCGCCAAACAGACGAATCTAATTGGGACGAGAACATAGCAGCATGATCCTTATTGTTCCACACTATCCGTCAAGTGAATCATGTGGACTAAAAATGAACAAGGCCAAACTGCAACAAGATCAATATTAAAGCTCACCGCCATCCATTTTCTCCTTCTCTACAATTAGGAAAGATGAGAAACGAACAATGTACACTGATCGAGTGATCCAATCAAATGAGAACAAGCATACAATAATAATATTCGTATTCGAGTGGAGAGGAATGCGAATATTTAATAATAAAATCACAGCGAATCTTTTCTCCCTTGTCGACTAGCACAGTTGAATTTTGGAATAATGTGTGCACAAATGCGACCAGTTAGATAAATGGGACAATTGAGTTTGCTTCGTTATATTTTCTGTATCTGTTCCATTGCGAGATAGGTGTGACTTTTGTGCTTCATCATTCTGTGTGTTTCGTTTCGAAATGTGATCAAATGAAATGAGAACAAATTGGTCTAATGTGGATTGTTGTTAGCAATTAGCAGTCCATATTTGACCATTGTGAATTGGGAGTAGTAAATCACATGGATCATTATCACTTCTTATTCATTCATGTATCGTTCACGTGGAAGAAGCCGATCAAACTGACAGTCGTTCAATTCGTGTTAGGATGCCAGTTAGCAGTTGATCGATATGCACTTCTCGTTATTCCGAACAGGTGAGTGAGATCAAACGCGTGTACATAGTGTGCATGTACTGTTCATTGGTCAGTTGAATATTCACTTTCTATATGTTGTATTATCGTTTGATGGGCAACAAATAAATGAATGATTGAATGTGCTATTGCTCAGAAATCTGAGTTCTACAGCTCAGTTGGAATAGTTCGCAAGAGGAGAAATATTTGATTTGTCTTTCTATATTCAGATCATTCGAGTGCTTAGATCTAACTAATGGGAATATATGAGATACTGATTGTCAGTGGCCACAAATCGTCCGGAATTTTCAATAAGAATGTCCATCCGGATCGTGTTTATCTGCGTTAGCAAATCAGTATGTATAAAGGAGCCGATTGGGAAAAGCGTTCGTCTACTGCACACAGTGAAATAGTCAAATGTGAACTGTTTGTTGTTGCGCCAAACAGACGAATCTAATTGGGACGAGAACATAGCAGCATGATCCTTATTGTTCCACACTATCCGTCAAGTGAATCATGTGGACTAAAAATGAACAAGGCCAAACTGCAACAAGATCAATATTAAAGCTCACCGCCATCCATTTTCTCCTTCTCTACAATTAGGAAAGATGAGAAACGAACAATGTACACTGATCGAGTGATCCAATCAAATGAGAACAAGCATACAATAATAATATTCGTATTCGAGTGGAGAGGAATGCGAATATATAATAATAAAATCACAGCGAATCTTTTCTCCCTTGTCGACTGGCACAGTTGAATTTTGGAATAATGTGTGCACAAATGCGACCAGTTAGATAAATGGGACAATTGAGTTTGCTTCGTTATATTTTCTGTATCTGTTCCATTGCGAGATAGGTGTGACTTTTGTGCTTCATCATTCTGTGTGTTTCGTTTCGAAATGTGATCAAATGAAATGAGAACAAATTGGTCTAATGTGGATTGTTGTTAGCAATTAGCAGTCCATATTTGACCATTGTGAATTGGGAGTAGTAAATCACATGGATCATTATCACTTCTTATTCATTCATGTATCGTTCACGTGGAAGAGGCCGATCAAACTGACAGTCGTTCAATTCGTGTTAGGATGCCAGTTAGCAGTTGATCGATATGCACTTCTCGTTATTCCGAACAGGTGAGTGAGATCAAACGCGTGTACATAGTGTGCATGTACTGTTCATTGGTCAGTTGAATGTTCACTTTCTATATGTTGTATTATCGTTTGATGGGCAACAAATAAATGAATGATTGAATGTGCTATTGCTCAGAAATCTCAGTTCTACAGCTCAGTTGGAATAGTTCGCAAGAGGAGAAATATTTGATTTGTCTTTCTATATTCAGATCATTCGAGTGCTTAGATCTAACTAATGGGAATATATGAGATACTGATTGTCAGTGGCCACAAATCGTCCGGAATTTTCAATTAGAATGTCCAACCGGATCGTGTTTATCTGCGTTAGCAAATCAGTATGTATAAAGGAGCCGATTGGGAAAAGCGTTCGTCTACTGCACACAGTGAAATAGTCAAATGTGAACTGTTTGTTGTTGCGCCAAACAGACGAATCTAATTGGGACGAGAACATAGCAGCATGATCCTTATTGTTCCACACTATCCGTCAAGTGAATCATGTGGACTAAAAATGAACAAGGCCAAACTGCAACAAGATCAATATTAAAGCTCACCGCCATCCATTTTCTCCTTCTCTACAATTAGGAAAGATGAGAAACGAACAATGTACACTGATCGAGTGATCCAATCAAATGAGAACAAGCATACAATAATAATATTCGTATTCGAGTGGAGAGGAATGCGAATATGTAATAATAAAATCACAGCGAATCTTTTCTCCCTTGTCGACTAGCACAGTTGAATTTTGGAATAATGTGTGCACAAATGCGACCAGTTAGATAAATGGGACAATTGAGTTTGCTTCGTTATATTTTCTGTATCTGTTCCATTGCGAGATAGGTGTGACTTTTGTGCTTCATCATTCTGTGTGTTTCGTTTCGAAATGTGATCAAATGAAATGAGAACAAATTGGTCTAATGTGGATTGTTGTTAGCAATTAGCAGTCCATATTTGACCATTGTGAATTGGGAGTAGTAAATCACATGGATCATTATCACTTCTTATTCATTCATGTATCGTTCACGTGGAAGAGGCCGATCAAACTGACAGTCGTTCAATTCGTGTTAGGATGCCAGTTAGCAGTTGATCGATATGCACTTCTCGTTATTCCGAACAGGTGAGTGAGATCAAACGCGTGTACATAGTGTGCATGTACTGTTCATTGGTCAGTTGAATGTTCACTTTCTATATGTTGTATTATCGTTTGATGGGCAACAAATAAATGAATGATTGAATGTGCTATTGCTCAGAAATCTCAGTTCTACAGCTCAGTTGGAATAGTTCGCAAGAGGAGAAATATTTGATTTGTCTTTCTATATTCAGATCATTCGAGTGCTTAGATCTAACTAATGGGAATATATGAGATACTGATTGTCAGTGGCCACAAATCGTCCGGAATTTTCAATTAGAATGTCCAACCGGATCGTGTTTATCTGCGTTAGCAAATCAGTATGTATAAAGGAGCCGATTGGGAAAAGCGTTCGTCTAATGCATACATTGAAATAGTCAAATGTGAACTGTTTGTTGTTGCGCCAAACAGACGAATCTAATTGGGACGAGAACATAGCAGCATGATCCTTATTGTTCCACACTATCCGTCAAGTGAATCATGTGGACTAAAAATGAACAAGGCCAAACTGCAACAAGATCAATATTAAAGCTCACCGCCATCCATTTTCTCCTTCTCTACAATTAGGAAAGATGAGAAACGAACAATGTACACTGATCGAGTGATCCAATCAAATGAGAACAAGCATACAATAATAATATTCGTATTCGAGTGGAGAGGAATGCGAATATTTAATAATAAAATCACAGCGAATCTTTTCTCCCTTGTCGACTGGCACAGTTGAATTTTGGAATAATGTGTGCACAAATGCGACCAGTTAGATAAATGGGACAATTGAGCTGCTTCGTTATATTTTCTGTATCTGTTCCATTGCGAGATAGGTGTGACTTTTGTGCTTCATCATTCTGTGTGTTTCGTTTCGAAATGTGATCAAATGAAATGAGAACAAATTGGTCTAATGTGGATTGTTGTTAGCAATTAGCAGTCCATATTTGACCATTGTGAATTGGGAGTAGTAAATCACATGGATCATTATCACTTCTTATTCATTCATGTATCGTTCACGTGGAAGAGGCCGATCAAACTGACAGTCGTTCAATTCGTGTTAGGATGCCAGTTAGCAGTTGATCGATATGCACTTCTCGTTATTCCGAACAGGTGAGTGAGATCAAACGCGTGTACATAGTGTGCATGTACTGTTCATTGGTCAGTTGAATGTTCACTTTCTATATGTTGTATTATCGTTTGATGGGCAACAAATAAATGAATGATTGAATGTGCTATTGCTCAGAAAACTCAGTTCTACAGCTCAGTTGGAATAGTTCGCAAGAGGAGAAATATTTGATTTGTCTTTCTATATTCAGATCATTCGAGTGCTTAGATCTAACTAATGGGAATATATGAGATACTGATTGTCAGTGGCCACAAATCGTCCGGAATTTTCAATTAGAATGTCCAACCGGATCGTGTTTATCTGCGTTAGCAAATCAGTATGTATAAAGGAGCCGATTGGGAAAAGCGTTCGTCTACTGCACACAGTGAAATAGTCAAATGTGAACTGTTTGTTGTTGCGCCAAACAGACGAATCTAATTGGGACGAGAACATAGCAGCATGATCCTTATTGTTCCACACTATCCGTCAAGTGAATCATGTGGACTAAAAATGAACAAGGCCAAACTGCAACAAGATCAATATTAAAGCTCACCGCCATCCATTTTCTCCTTCTCTACAATTAGGAAAGATGAGAAACGAACAATGTACACTGATCGAGTGATCCAATCAAATGAGAACAAGCATACAATAATAATATTCGTATTCGAGTGGAGAGGAATGCGAATATATAATAATAAAATCACAGCGAATCTTTTCTCCCTTGTCGACTGGCACAGTTGAATTTTGGAATAATGTGTGCACAAATGCGACCAGTTAGATAAATGGGACAATTGAGTTTGCTTCGTTATATTTTCTGTATCTGTTCCATTGCGAGATAGGTGTGACTTTTGTGCTTCATCATTCTGTGTGTTTCGTTTCGAAATGTGATCAAATGAAATGAGAACAAATTGGTCTAATGTGGATTGTTGTTAGCAATTAGCAGTCCATATTTGACCATTGTGAATTGGGAGTAGTAAATCACATGGATCATTATCACTTCTTATTCATTCATGTATCGTTCACGTGGAAGAGGCCGATCAAACTGACAGTCGTTCAATTCGTGTTAGGATGCCAGTTAGCAGTTGATCGATATGCACTTCTCGTTATTCCGAACAGGTGAGTGAGATCAAACGCGTGTACATAGTGTGCATGTACTGTTCATTGGTCAGTTGAATGTTCACTTTCTATATGTTGTATTATCGTTTGATAGGCAACAAATAAATGAATGATTGAATGTGCTATTGCTCAGAAAACTCAGTTCTACAGCTCAGTTGGAATAGTTCGCAAGAGGAGAAATATTTGATTTGTCTTTCTATATTCAGATCATTCGAGTGCTTAGATCTAACTAATGGGAATATATGAGATACTGATTGTCAGTGGCCACAAATCGTCCGGAATTTTCAATTAGAATGTCCAACCGGATCGTGTTTATCTGCGTTAGCAAATCAGTATGTATAAAGGAGCCGATTGGGAAAAGCGTTCGTCTACTGCACACAGTGAAATAGTCAAATGTGAACTGTTTGTTGTTGCGCCAAACAGACGAATCTAATTGGGACGAGAACATAGCAGCATGATCCTTATTGTTCCACACTATCCGTCAAGTGAATCATGTGGACTAAAAATGAACAAGGCCAAACTGCAACAAGATCAATATTAAAGCTCACCGCCATCCATTTTCTGCTTCTCTACAATTAGGAAAGATGAGAAACGAACAATGTACACTGATCGAGTGATCCAATCAAATGAGAACAAGCATACAATAATAATATTCATATTCGAGTGGAGAGGAGTGCGAATATATAATAATAAAATCACAGCGAATCTTTTCTCCCTTGTCGACTGGCACAGTTGAATTTTGGAATAATGTGTGCACAAATGCGACCAGTTAGATAAATGGGACAATTGAGTTTGCTTCGTTATATTTTCTGTATCTGTTCCATTGCGAGATAGGTGTGCCTTTTGTGCTTCATCATTCTGTGTGTTTCGTTTCGAAATGTGATCAAATGAAATGAGAACAAATTGGTCTAATGTGGATTGTTGTTAGCAATTAGCAGTCCATATTTGACCATTGTGAATTGGGAGTAGTAAATCACATGGATCATTATCACTTCTTATTCATTCATGTATCGTTCACGTGGAAGAGGCCGATCAAACTGACAGTCGTTCAATTCGTGTTTGGATGCCAGTTAGCAGTTGATCGATATGCACTTCTCGTTATTCCGAACAGGTGAGTGAGATCAAACGCGTGTACATAGTGTGCATGTACTGTTCATTGGTCAGTTGAATGTTCACTTTCTATATGTTGTATTATCGTTTGATGGGCAACAAATAAATGAATGATTGAATGTGCTATTGCTCAGAAAACTCAGTTCTACAGCTCAGTTGGAATAGTTCGCAAGAGGAGAAATATTTGATTTGTCTTTCTATATTCAGATCATTCGAGTGCTTAGATCTAACTAATGGGAATATATGAGATACTGATTGTCAGTGGCCACAAATCGTCCGGAATTTTCAATTAGAATGTCCAACCGGATCGTGTTTATCTGCGTTAGCAAATCAGTATGTATAAAGGAGCCGATTGGGAAAAGCGTTCGTCTACTGCACACAGTGAAATAGTCAAATGTGAACTGTTTGTTGTTGCGCCAAACAGACGAATCTAATTGGGACGAGAACATAGCAGCATGATCCTTATTGTTCCACACTATCCGTCAAGTGAATCATGTGGACTAAAAATGAACAAGGCCAAACTGCAACAAGATCAATATTAAAGCTCACCGCCATCCATTTTCTCCTTCTCTACAATTAGGAAAGATGAGAAACGAACAATGTACACTGATCGAGTGATCCAATCAAATGAGAACAAGCATACAATAATAATATTCGTATTCGAGTGGAGAGGAATGCGAATATATAATAATAAAATCACAGCGAATCTTTTCTCCCTTGTCGACTGGCACAGTTGAATTTTGGAATAATGTGTGCACAAATGCGACCAGTTGGATAAATGGGACAATTGAGTTTGCTTCGTTATATTTTCTGTATCTGTTCCATTGCGAGATAGGTGTGCCTTTTGTGCTTCATCATTCTGTGTGTTTCGTTTCGAAATGTGATCAAATGAAATGAGAACAAATTGGTCTAATGTGGATTGTTGTTAGCAATTAGCAGTCCATATTTGACCATTGTGAATTGGGAGTAGTAAATCACATGGATCATTATCACTTCTTATTCATTCATGTATCGTTCACGTGGAAGAGGCCGATCAAACTGACAGTCGTTCAATTCGTGTTAGGATGCCAGTTAGCAGTTGATCGATATGCACTTCTCCTTATTCCGAACAGGTGAGTGAGATCAAACGCGTGTACATAGTGTGCATGTACTGTTCATTGGTCAGTTGAATGTTCACTTTCTATAAGTTGTATTATCGTTTGATAGGCAACAAATAAATGAATGATTGAATGTGCTATTGCTCAGAAAACTCAGTTCTACAGCTCAGTTGGAATAGTTCGCAAGAGGAGAAATATTTGATTTGTCTTTCTATATTCAGATCATTCGAGTGCTTAGATCTAACTAATGGGAATATATGAGATACTGATTGTCAGTGGCCACAAATCGTCCGGAATTTTCAATTAGAATGTCCAACCGGATCGTGTTTATCTGCGTTAGCAAATCAGTATGTATAAAGGAGCCGATTGGGAAAAGCGTTCGTCTACTGCACACAGTGAAATAGTCAAATGTGAACTGTTTGTTGTTGCGCCAAACAGACGAATCTAATTGGGACGAGAACATAGCAGCATGATCCTTATTGTTCCACACTATCCGTCAAGTGAATCATGTGGACTAAAAATGAACAAGGCCAAACTGCAACAAGATCAATATTAAAGCTCACCGCCATCCATTTTCTGCTTCTCTACAATTAGGAAAGATGAGAAACGAACAATGTACACTGATCGAGTGATCCAATCAAATGAGAACAAGCATACAATAATAATATTCGTATTCGAGTGCAGAGGAGTGCGAATATATAATAATAAAATCACAGCGAATCTTTTCTCCCTTGTCGACTGGCACAGTTGAATTTTGGAATAATGTGTGCACAAATGCGACCAGTTAGATAAATGGGACAATTGAGTTTGCTTCGTTATATTTTCTGTATCTGTTCCATTGCGAGATAGGTGTGACTTTTGTGCTTCATCATTCTGTGTGTTTCGTTTCGAAATGTGATCAAATGAAATGAGAACAAATTGGTCTAATGTGGATTGTTGTTAGCAATTAGCAGTCCATATTTGACCATTGTGAATTGGGAGTAGTAAATCACATGGATCATTATCACTTATTATTCATTCATGTATCGTTCACGTGGAAGAGGCCGATCAAACTGACAGTCGTTCAATTCGTGTTAGGATGTCCGTTAGCAGTTGATCGATATGCACTTCTCTTATTCCGAACAGGTGAGTGAGATCAAACGCGTGTACATAGTGTGCATGTACTGTTCATTGATCAGTTGAATGTTCATTTTCTATATGTTGTATTATCGTTTGATAGGCAACAAATAAATGAATGATTGAATGTGCTATTGCTCAGAAAACTCAGTTCTACAGCTCAGTGGGAATAGTTCGCAAGAGGAGAAATATTTGATTTGTCTTTCTATATTCAGATCATTCGAGTGCTTAGATCAAACTAATGGGAATATATGAGATACTGATTGTCAGTGGCCACAAATCGTCCGGAATTTTCAATTAGAATGTCCAACCAGATCATGTTTATCTGCGTTAGCAAATCAGTATGTATAAAGGAGCCGATTGGGAAAAGCGTTCGTCTACTGCACACAGTGAAATAGTCAAATGTGAACTGTTTGTTGTTGCGCCAAACAGACGAATCTAATTGGGACGAGAACATAGCAGCATGATCCTTATTGTTCCACACTAACCGTCAAGTGAATCATGTGGACTAAAAATGAACAAGGCCAAACTGCAACAAGATCAATATTAAAGCTCACCGCCATCCATTTTCTGCTTCTCTACAATTAGGAAAGATGAGAAACGAACAATGTACACTGATCGAGTGATCCAATCAAATGAGAACAAGCATACAATAATAATATTCATATTCGAGTGGAGAGGAGTGCGAATATATAATAATAAAATCACAGCGAATCTTTTCTCCCTTGTCGACTGGCACAGTTGAATTTTGGAATAATGTGTGCACAAATGCGACCAGTTAGATAAATGGGACAATTGAGTTTGCTTCGTTATATTTTCTGTATCTGTTCCATTGCGAGATAGGTGTGACTTTTGTGCTTCATCATTCTGTGTGTTTCGTTTCGAAATGTGATCAAATGAAATGAGAACAAATTGGTCTAATGTGGATTGTTGTTAGCAATTAGCAGTCCATATTTGACCATTGTGAATTGGGAGTAGTAAATCACATGGATCATTATCACTTCTTATTCATTCATGTATCGTTCACGTGGAAGAGGCCGATCAAACTGACAGTCGTTCAATTCGTGTTAGGATGCCCGTTAGCAGTTGATCGATATGCACTTCTCTTATTCCGAACAGGTGAGTGAGATCAAACGCGTGTACATAGTGTGCATGTACTGTTCATTGATCAGTTGAATGTTCATTTTCTATATGTTGTATTATCGTTTGATAGGCAACAAATAAATGAATGATTGAATGTGCTATTGCTCAGAAAACTCAGTTCTACAGCTCAGTGGGAATAGTTCGCAAGAGGAGAAATATTTGATTTGTCTTTCTATATTCAGATCATTCGAGTGCTTAGATCAAACTAATGGGAATATATGAGATACTGATTGTCAGTGGCCACAAATCGTCCGGAATTTTCAATTAGAATGTCCAACCAGATCATGTTTATCTGCGTTAGCAAATCAGTATGTATAAAGGAGCCGATTGGGAAAAGCGTTCGTCTACTGCACACAGTGAAATAGTCAAATGTGAACTGTTTGTTGTTGCGCCAAACAGACGAATCTAATTGGGACGAGAACATAGCAGCATGATCCTTATTGTTCCACACTAACCGTCAAGTGAATCATGTGGACTAAAAATGAACAAGGCCAAACTGCAACAAGATCAATATTAAAGCTCACCGCCATCCATTTTCTGCTTCTCTACAATTAGGAAAGATGAGAAACGAACAATGTACACTGATCGAGTGATCCAATCAAATGAGAACAAGCATACAATAATAATATTCATATTCGAGTGGAGAGGAGTGCGAATATATAATAATAAAATCACAGCGAATCTTTTCTCCCTTGTCGACTGGCACAGTTGAATTTTGGAATAATGTGTGCACAAATGCGACCAGTTAGATAAATGGGACAATTGAGTTTGCTTCGTTATATTTTCTGTATCTGTTCCATTGCGAGATAGGTGTGACTTTTGTGCTTCATCATTCTGTGTGTTTCGTTTCGAAATGTGATCAAATGAAATGAGAACAAATTGGTCTAATGTGGATTGTTGTTAGCAATTAGCAGTCCATATTTGACCATTGTGAATTGGGAGTAGTAAATCACATGGATCATTATCACTTCTTATTCATTCATGTATCGTTCACGTGGAAGAGGCCGATCAAACTGACAGTCGTTCAATTCGTGTTAGGATGCCCGTTAGCAGTTGATCGATATGCACTTCTCGTTATTCCGAACAGGTGAGTGAGATCAAACGCGTGTACATAGTGTGCATGTACTGTTCATTGATCAGTTGAATGTTCATTTTCTATATGTTGTATTATCGTTTGATAGGCAACAAATAAATGAATGATTGAATGTGCTATTGCTCAGAAAACTCAGTTCTACAGCTCAGTTGGAATAGTTCGCAAGAGGAGAAATATTTGATTTGTCTTTCTATATTCAGATCATTCGAGTGCTTAGATCTAACTAATGGGAATATATGAGATACTGATTGTCAGTGGCCACAAATCGTCCGGAATTTTCAATTAGAATGTCCAACCAGATCATGTTTATCTGCGTTAGCAAATCAGTATGTATAAAGGAGCCGAATGGGAAAAGCGTTCGTCTACTGCACACAGTGAAATAGTCAAATGTGAACTGTTTGTTGTTGCGCCAAACAGACGAATCTAATTGGGACGAGAACATAGCAGCATGATCCTTATTGTTCCACACTATCCGTCAAGTGAATCATGTGGACTAAAAATGAACAAGGCCAAACTGCAACAAGATCAATATTAAAGCTCACCGCCATCCATTTTCTCCTTCTCTACAATTAGGAAAGATGAGAAACGAACAATGTACACTGATCGAGTGATCCAATCAAATGAGAACAAGCATACAATAATAATATTCGTATTCGAGTGGAGAGGAATGCGAATATATAATAATAAAATCACAGCGAATCTTTTCTCCCTTGTCGACTGGCACAGTTGAATTTTGGAATAATGTGTGCACAAATGCGACCAGTTAGATAAATGGGACAATTGAGTTTGCTTCGTCATATTTTCTGTATCTGTTCCATTGCGAGATAGGTGTGACTTTTGTGCTTCATCATTCTGTGTGTTTCGTTTCGAAATGTGATCAAATGAAATGAGAACAAATTGGTCTAATGTGGATTGTTGTTAGCAATTAGCAGTCCATATTTGACCATTGTGAATTAGGAGTAGTAAATCACATGGATCATTATCACTTCTTATTCATTCATGTATCGTTCACGTGGAAGAGGCCGATCAAACTGACAGTCGTTCAATTCGTGTTAGGATGCCCGTTAGCAGTTGATCGATATGCACTTCCCTTATTCCGAACAGGTGAGTGAGATCAAACGCGTGTACATAGTGTGCATGTACTGTTCATTGATCAGTTGAATGTTCACTTTCTATAAGTTGTATTATCGTTTGATAGGCAACAAATAAATGAATGATTGAATGTGCTATTGCTCAGAAATCTGAGTTCTACAGCTCAGTTGGAATAGTTCGCAAGAGGAGAAATATTTGATTTGTCTTTCTATATTCAGATCATTCGAGTGCTTAGACCTAACTAATGGGAATATATGAGATACTGATTGTCAGTGGCCACAAATCGTCCGGAATTTTCAATTAGAATGTCCAACCAGATCATGTTTATCTGCGTTAGCAAATCAGTATGTATAAAGGAGCCGATTGGGAAAAGCGTTCGTCTACTGCACACAGTGAAATAGTCAAATGTGAACTGTTTGTTGTTGCGCCAAACAGACGAATCTAATTGGGACGAGAACATAGCAGCATGATCCTTATTGTTCCACACTATCCGTCAAGTGAATCATGTGGACTAAAAATGAACAAGGCCAAACTGCAACAAGATCAATATTAAAGCTCACCGCCATCCATTTTCTCCTTCTCTACAATTAGGAAAGATGAGAAACGAACAATGTACACTGATCGAGTGATCCAATCAAATGAGAACAAGCATACAATAATAATATTCGTATTCGAGTGGAGAGGAGTGCGAATATATAATAATAAAATCACAGCGAATCTTTTCTCCCTTGTCGACTGGCACAGTTGAATTTTGGAATAATGTGTGCACAAATGCGACCAGTTAGATAAATGGGACAATTGAGTTTGCTTCGTCATATTTTCTGTATCTGTTCCATTGCGAGATAGGTGTGACTTTTGTGCTTCATCATTCTGTGTGTTTCGTTTCGAAATGTGATCAAATGAAATGAGAACAAATTGGTCTAATGTGGATTGTTGTTAGCAATTAGCAGTCCATATTTGACCATTGTGAATTGGGAGTAGTAAATCACATGGATCATTATCACTTATTATTCATTCATGTATCGTTCACGTGGAAGAGTCCAATCAATCTGAATCTCGCCTAATTCGTTCTAAATTTTTTTGTTGCAATATTCGTTGTTTCTGCCCTTTTTATCTCTGTGTTCACCAGGCTTTTTTTCGGTTTTTTATAGCTTAAATGTGATTTCTTTTCTCCCTGGTTTGTTTCCATTCTTCCAGGTTTGTTTCCGGTCTCTCTCTTTACACTTTCTTTTTTTCACTTGGTTGCTATTTTTCTTCCGTCCTTACTTTTCTCTGTATTGTTCCACTTCTTTCCTTCGTGTTGCTCACTCGCTTATTCTCCTACGTTCATCTATCGATTCATTGCACTTTTTCCTTTGCTTTTGACTATGTCAGATCACTTTTTCACTTGTAATTTCCCACAGTATTCCATCTTCATTTATCCGGTTCCATCTTTCGAACCTTGCGGACGAGTATTTGTTTCCATTGTGCCTGCTTTTCTCACAAGCTTTGGAGTTCGCAATAAAATTCACGAAGTTTCGGAAACGTGAGTATACTGTTCAGTGGGACCATATCAAATCTTCGCTTTTATTCGTACTTTTTTCTCTGAGAGTTATTTGGTACATGCACTTTCTTTCTCTCAATGTATATCTTACGGTTATCTTTATTTGATATTTTGAATAGAAACCCTTTCAAGATCATTGTTTAACAGAATATTCTCTTTCAAGCAACCGTTTGACGATGACTATCAGTTACATCAAAAATATATTTCTCGTCTTCATCAGTATTGTCTTTGGATTCTAGGTCATTTGTGTGCGCTTGATTTTCGTTAGGATCATTCTCGCGATAACTATGAAAAATCCACCAAAACTAGTTTTCCTGTGCACCTCTATAAACGGATCAACGTATATAGTTTGATTCTTCTGAAGTAAATACTAATATGAACGTTGTTTTGCTCATAATGTTTCAGGTAATTCAGTGCAAGCAAAACTCATCTCGTTTTCCCTTCGAAGCTCATATCCCGTTATAAATGGGTTTTGTCTGCACTTTGAGTGTATTTATTAAGCTCGTACAAGCAGCTGACCAGTTCCTGCCTTGAAACAAAGCCACCATTGCCCGGTTATCGTCAAAATAAAATTGTGTGGTTCTTACGCATTTGCTGTGAGTAATTAGAACAGAACATACTTTTCAAACAAGTTTATGCATCGCTCCAAGATTATAGTACACATGTAATTATTAGGTCGTCTGAAATTGTTCACATCGGCCAATTTTCCATGTTATATTCACCCCTCCTTTTTCATGAACCCTCCACAAAGTTTTTGTGAGTTTGCAAGATCTACTTGATTCCAACTTCGTCCTATCACCTTGAAGTTGTGATTTGAATTACGAGAAGACTATTGAAAGTCATGATCCCAGAAGATTTTACCAATCATAGTTATTCCCAATTCGGCGGAGCACCATCACCTTTCTTGAAAAAAGCAAACAATATATGGTGTTTTGGGTAACTGCAATCAATTATTTCTATTTTATTGTATTAGGGTAAAATCTCATTGTTTTGAGCCTGTTTGTAGATGTCTTTAGTGCTCAATCTTCAGCTTCACGTTTCGAAAGGACCACGGTAATTGTGTCCATATTCACTCCTCAGCTCATGACAATGAACAAATCTTTTGCTTTATATAAGAAGTAATCTTTGCCTACTTTCCTTACCTCATACTGTTTGCGTAACGAGAAGATATCAGGAGAAATTGCCTTACTACAAACCACTAAACCTGATAACTTCACTACTACGCAGCATTCATTTGACCACACGAAAACTTTTCACATTACGAAAAGCAATCAACACTGTGTGTGATATTGATGTGAGTGAATGACATTTCCTCGAAACACTATTCCATTTGTTACAGAGAGTCTTCATGCGTGCAAAACCAATTTCATTTTCACTTACCTGCCTGCTGCGAGTGCACCAAGCACAATAACAATATCAGTAACATGATAGATTTCATTTTGTTTGTCTTGCACGACGTATTCTAGCGCTCTTATATTGCACGCCATTGCATTATGTGTAATTCTATTGGTTTAGAACTGTTATCACGTCGTTAGCTTGTCCGTCAAACTAATTATTCTCCGCTTCTGTTTATAGGCTGACCTGCAGATCTAATTCCCAAAGGAAGATATCTACCATTTACGTTTATGGAAAATCGGTGCCCTCCTCCTAAAAAGGTAATATTGGTGATCAATGAAACGCTAAAGATCATCGGTATAAAAATGATTTTACCGATTGGGATGACTTTTATCTAAATAATGAAAAGGTCCCCGGAAGCACTCATAGATTTAAGCCTCTATTGATGGATAATTCCTTGGGAAAAAGTTCGAAAACTATAGTAAGAGATTTGTACTTCGTAAATGGGAATTTACTCATTGATATTGTCAAAAAAGTCAAACAAAAGAGTGATACAAACCATAAATATCGGTTCTAGTGGCAACAAAACAAACCAACAAAAACGTTTTTATGAATATTTTGCTTCGTTCAAAAAATGTTCACTTTAGATCAACTAGAATGAAGATTTACTTGAAAGTCGGCGAACAGAAACGGAACTCTATCAGTGAGTAAGTAGATTTTATGGAGTAGCTTCAATTTGCGTGCATAGCTATATTCTCATTCCCCTTTACCTGTTGTTTTGTTCTGTCCTACTAGCTCTAGTGAGAACACAATTCTGCCTCAGAATCATTTTTCGTCTTATTGGTAAAGAGTACATTGTTTTTATATGAGATGCGCTCATCATAATCAAAACGGTGCATGGAAGCTCATTGGTCTACTGATAGACCTTAACGGCCCACTTGGCTGTTTCATCGGGCTGTGCCTGGATCGGTGGATTCGGCTTTGGTCGAATGTAAACCGCTGACTAACCCATTGATCACCTAACTGGCTCTGATCTTGTCGGCGATTCTTGTCAGCCGATTACGTTCCGTCTGCTTCATTGAACTCGGCCGTCTAGTAGCAACGTGCTGCGCACATTCCCTCACATTCATAAGCATTCCTGAGATTTGTATCATCGGTAACAAAGCAGATTGATATCTTTTTCATAATTTCTAGGCTTTCATATTGTGGGTGCCAAAAGCCCTGCAATTATGCTTCAATTTTCAGGCAAACAGTGGAATTTGGAATGAAATGACACGGTGAATAAATACTGTTGGAATATGTACAGTCGTCATAAACTCCTATGGAATTTTACCGGATTCGAAGCGAGTTCAATTATTCTTTTCACCACGATCTGGTCTCCGATGTTATGTTCTGACCGAAAGAGTTAACGTTTTGGAAAACATATTACCAAGGACCACACTTACTCAAATGTTTTATGCTTATTCGTACTCATAGATAGACAACGGAATTTAATTACGTTTACTAGTTAATGTGGAAAGCCCTGTTTGCATTTCTCACAGGGGACCTGTTGTCGCTAGTTCCAATGTTATATTTCACAGTACAAACGGCCATCATCCCTGTCTTCAAAATGTCTTCAACACTGAGCAGATTAACGGAAAATACAATCAAACTGATCGCCCAGCGAATTCCCAAAATGAACCAATAAGGTTTAGAAATCAGCAAGTTAACACGGTGACTTTCCACAGAATATGAATTTTTATTCCATAGTTTTATTTCCTATCAACACATTTCCTTTTCGGAATTTTTCTTAAACAAATAACACAGCGGGTAGAGTCACAACTTCGGAATGCCCGGGAAATACGTATCTTGCTTTTACTAATGCACCGAATGCCAAACCGTCAAATGTGATATCCGAAGTTAGTATGAGGGCGAGGATAGGGCTGTCGTGTTATTCACCTACCTGTTTCCCGCTGCCCGTTGGATAGGGAGTAAAACTTGGTGATCGATGGAATGAAAAAGTACCATCGTCGAAAGGCTCGTGGCCCGTCTATGAAACTCACAACAAAGGAAACTGCAGTCTTAGGTATCTTCGTGAACCCAGATTCATGTTGGGAAGAATAATGTTCCAGTAAAACTCATGGAGTCATTCTCCACGCACGCTACATTATCACTCGGTGTAACGGCTCCAATAGTCAAAACATCTGATCAACAGAAGACAAGATAAATACTGTCCACAACTTTCTCGACCTTGAACATTTCAAATCTTCGAAGAAAATAGGATGAAATCAACTTTTTACCTGTGTCATCTACAACTACTTAGAAATTTTGAAGCCTTTATTGAGATATCTGGAAACGGTTTCGAAGTGGTTTCAATCGCCGATTAGATTAACTGTAAGTGTTGAACATGCCTTGATGGAATCATCTACTACAGAACCCTCAACCACCGAAACCTACTGTTACTCGTAGACTTTTTTATTATTTTGCAAATAAAGCCATCAAAAACAAATGAAAAACGTTAGTACGACTAATATTAGTTGATTCGAGTGTTAAACTAACATCGTATCCACTGCACTCCTCCTCTGTCTGTTTTGCCAGCTGACCAACTCAATAGTTTCCAAGCAATCAGAAACAGCCCGACATCTTGACCCGGAACTCAACCAATGTCGGCCATGTCTAATTGTAAAACTTAAGTATTCATCACATCCACATGTTGACTGCTGAATGGCACTGCTTCAAATCGACAAGTTTTTATTTGGTATCACAATGACAATTACACAACTCAATCAAAATGTTTTTTTATTTACCCACAACTTCTGGGTTTTACTTGATGTACATATATCGTGATTTGCAGGCACGCATTATTATTTGCACTTTTTGACTAATGGAATATTAAGTCGCAATAGAAATTTGAATGATGCTTTGCCTTCATCGATATTTCAGTTTGTCTGTATCGGTACTACACGGTGAGTTGGCTTGACTAGTACCAATTTGGAATACTCTGCAAATTTTATTCCGCGGCAATGTTTGGATGAACCTCTGCAACCGAACAGTATTGCCCGTCAAAAGACTAATAAACAGTTTTCGAACAAACGTGAAATCGCCTTTGCTTGTCTTCGGCCGACAAATGGACAGAAACCAGGCCACTCATCACTCTTTCTCCCATCAACTTTGGAAGACTATTATGTACCCGTCATTTGTTTACCTAAACCATAAAACCGCAAATGAAATTGTCATACCGCAATACCGTTTCGAACGGAAAGATCCACCAGGAGTGTAGTTGAATAAGTAATGTTTCTTCCTTCTGATTAAAAAGCCCAAACCGCTTTGAACTATTCCGATTTCAGTAGGCAAGTAATGAGAACGTTGCCAGGCCCTACAAAATCATGTTCCTGAATGACATGAAACGGACTGTCTTGGGGAAAAAACTGCTAATTCTGTAAATGTCGTCGTTGTCGAGTCGTTCGCTCTGATTTTCTACGCTATTCTGAACTACTACCAGAGCCAGTATTGATAATAATGCTATTGAGGTTTTATTCCGCATGATAAAACTAGCCGTTAATTAAGAAAGCTCAATTCAGTAGTACCATTCACTTCTATTCCGAGAGTGAGAGTTCCTTTTGCAAATCAGCAATAGTGAGGCAATACTGACACAAAGGTACAAGCTGAAAACAAGGATAAAAATAAACGAAGCTCACAAGAATCCAAAATAGGGAACAGTAACGTGAAATTTATTAAACCTTCCTACTACTGTGGAGCGAGAATATGAAATCACGCATGTTAAAGTGTTCCGTGACACATGGACGAATAAGTTAGGGATATTGTGAGGACTCTAGAAGAAGGGGGAATATTTCGAAGAAAAACTACATTCACAAATCACTAGTCATACAGCGCTTATTGGGACTTTCTGATAAACCTTGGAAAAGGCTCGAGTTGCAGCTTTGAGAAAAACAATTCCGGGGAAGTTTCGGGTATTGGGAATCGCAAGATTCTTAATAAAGCACAAATGGATGGGCGATTTTGGAATAATTCAATGTGCAAATTCGTTGAATAGAACATAAGTACTCGCACAATTCCGAAAATCAATAATGATACTTTGAGCGCGCTCCTCTACAAGTCGTTTTCTGCCTTTCTTTAGTAAAGTGGAATCCATTCAAAACGTCAAGATTGGGCCCAAAGTGTTACTTCAAATATTTTACAAATCCCCAATGCGAAAAATCTTAGTTCAGTCCGGTTTGTGTATCTAACGAATGAATACAACGTTGTGGGTACTGCTTCACTAACTGATATAGCGTGATAAGTGTGAGTGATTAGAAATGGGTAATAAGTGTATGTGTACTTGGAACTGGTATGTGTGCTCTTGTGTGTCCTTGTGAAATCATGAATATCACGCGCATCGCGTCTGCCCTTGTGACAACACGATCGGGTCTTCGATAGTCAGACATGATAACTTGGGAAACCCATTTATGAATTCAAATCCTCGTGACAAGCACATCAGATTTTGACATCAAAAGTTTGAGTGCTACTTTATGGGTGAATAACATGCGTCATTTCTGTATCGTGAGCTGTCAATGTGATGAATTTTAGATTATTGATGCTCCAATTCAGTCAAAGCAGATTTTGTTTCAACTCGATTGTAGCGATTCCCCACGAAGAACACTACCCTTCTCAACCGATCATGGATTCTCGGCATCAGTTTACATCGCTAAAGAATAATACAACTGATGCCATTTGTTTCTCGAAAGGACTCCGTTTCAATGAGTCACATGAGAATAGTTGGTATTATCGGGGGTGAGTCTAGTAGAAATATTAGTGTTTTTCCCGATTGACAGCTGAAGTATTTTGTGGGTGACAATCAACTGTTTTGCATTTGTTTTTTTAGGATCTCACAAGCGCACCCGTATAGTACACCAAATACAACCAACGTTTCAAGTGAATCTACGAGAATTCTGTGCATGGGTTGCAGCTTATCTGCGAGCCACTCGGACTGTTCCATGATGAGGCGAGTTTGTCATTTAAATAATTGGTTTCTGAGGTACGTTTGTTTCATGAATCTTGAAAAATCCATATAACCATGAATTAGTAGACCCGCATGGCCTGGTTGTTTCGAAC